GCCGCAAATTTGGACTGGCCACTTCTGCAACTGGACATTAAAAATGCATTCTTGAATGGGGAATTGAAGGAAGAAGTTTTCATGACGCTACCACCAGGTTTTTGCAAAGAGGAAAAAGGCTGAGTATGCAAATTGAAAAAATCCTTATATGGACTCAAGCAGTCACCAAGAGCATGGTTTGATAGATTTGCAAGAGTGTTGAAGAGCTAAGGATACCGCCAGGACAGTCAGATCATATTATATTTCTTCGATTTGAAAACGGCACTAAAACGATTCTAATCGTATATGTTGATGATATTGTTTTGACAGGAGATAACATAGTAGAGATGGAAAGACTAAAAATGAGTCTTGCTTTCGAATATGAAGTAAAAGATCTAGGATCAGTGCGGTATTTTCTGGGAATGGAAGTTGCTAGATCAAAACGGAGCATCAGTGTATCACAACGGAAATATGTTCTTGATCTTCTAACCGAAACTGACATGCTAGGATGTAAACCAAGCAATACACCTATAGATATGGGAATGAAAACTGACGATAGAGGAAATCCAGTAGAAATAGATAGATATCAAAGATTAGTTGGAAAGCTAATCTACCTGTCACACACCAGACCTGACATCGCATTTGCAGTTAGTTTGGTAAGCCAACACATGCATGCTCCTAAGGAAAGCCACCTAGAAGCCGTCTATAAAATACTCAGATACCTCAAGGGCTCTTCAGGAAAGGGGCTATTCCTTAAAAGGAGTGAAAGAAAAGAAGTTGAAGTCTTCACGGATGCAAATTGGGCAAGATCAATAGATGATAGAAGGTCTACTATTAGTTACTGTACCTTTGTATGGGAAAACCTGGTAACTTGGAGAAGTAAGAAACAAAATGTAGTAGCCAGAAGTAGTGTTGTAGTTGAGTTCAGAGCTGTTGCACATGGAATATGTGAAGGGCTATGGTTAAATAAACTTCTAGAAGAATTGCATGTCACAATAAATCCACCAATCGAACTTTACTGTGATGATAAAGCAGCAATTAACATTTCCCTTAATCCAGTTCAGCAAGATCAAACTAAACATGTGGAGGTAGACAGACACTTTATCAAAGAAAATGTTGAGAAATGAATTATTTGCATGACTTATGTCCCTATGCAAGAGCAAACTGCAGATATATTCACCAAGGGACTATCTAAACAAAAATTCAATGATTTCATCTTCAAGTTAGATATGATAAATATTTACGATCCAACTTGAGGTGGAGTGTTGAAATCATGAGATAATTGATCAAGTTTGAAAATAATTGTTAATTTCCTTAGTTAGAATATTTAGAATATTCTTTGATTATTGTAATCTTTAGATATGGT